AACTTCCCTCGGATTGTAGTAACATCTACAAGCAATTTGAATGCTCCTGAGCTAAATTTGAACTGGCCCAATGGAATCATTAACATTTTTTTTTTATATAAATTTGCAAAGATGTTAAAAACCTGTTTTTTGCTTTACTATTATGGTGTATGGAGTGTAGATTGATGTGGGTAAAAAGTAATTAAAAGCAGTTTAGCATAAGGCAGCAACTTAACAAAATGTGAAAAAAATGAAGGGTTATGAATATTTTCGTCAAGGCCTGTAGTTACTCCCAAACACTGTTAACAACACCTAAAGGTAAATCATTCAAGACAAACACCTTTGAATCTAGGCTGTGTTCCATCTCTCACGTGTTTGACAATGTTTCCCTTAGCTGAGAGCGTGGGAGAGTGGAACATGTGCACCAAGCCTTACCGTGGTCTCTCACACGAACTACTTTTCCCAGAAGAAGGATTCCCCAGTTATGCAAGAGGACAATATCAAACAGTCATTATTCCAGCTAAAGTCAGTTCATTGATGATTCAGTGATGTCAAATCTAATTCAACTTCTAATTCAACAGATATTCATAAGCTGGATTTGTAAATGTTGATAGAAGTTTCCCTCATCTCAAAATACATTTTAGAATACTATTCACAAAGGCTTGAAGTGTAAATTGGCAAATTTAAATGCACAGTCTTACACCGATTATGTTTGATACACCAACAATGTTTAAGTTCATGCAAACTATTCTGAAGTTGTCTTCTGATAGTTAGCAGCTATATAGTTATTTGTTATGAATGTAAACACTCAATGTTAAACAGAACCAAATTCTGTTTTTGATTGTCCAAAGGCAATTGCACATTATGAACAAGCTGCTGACTATTACAAAGGAGAGGAATCAAACAGGTAAGCCTGCTTAGTAGAAGCCAAATAATAAAGGTCTTGTTTCCCCCCCATGTTTAACCACTTTGTTTCTAAGGAGAGGTTTCTAAGATTAATTGAGGCATTTTGAATGGTACTTTAAGCTTTGATATGGTCTGTTTGCTTAATTTACAGCTCTGCAAACAAGTGTCTGCTGAAGGTGGCTTCATACAGTGCCCAGTTAGAGCAGTACCCGAAAGCAATAGAGATTTATGAGCAGGTAAGCCATCTGTCGATCTTCAGCAGATTCTTGCCCCATTACTCGCTCACCAGCAGTCGCTAAATCACTCGGGAATTCCTGTCTGTAAACAGGTTGGAACCAACACCATGGACAATCCTCTACTGAAATACAGCGCCAAAGAATACTTCTTCAAAGCTTCCTTGTGTCACTTCATCGTGGACGAGCTAAACGCAAAGGTCGGCTCTCCATCAGGTCATCATGCATGCATGCATATATATGGAGAACTGCTGCAGATAATGTGTGACTTTTCCTTTCTGTTGTAGCTCGCTGTTGGAAAGTATGAAGAGATGTTTCCAGCCTTCTCAGATTCAAGAGAATGCAAGCTTCTGAAGGTTTGTTATAATACGGTTTACAACATATGAAAACACATTTTGTAATCGGGGTGGTTTAGACTAGTGGGACTCAAACCATATCTGACAGGATAGAGTCAAAACTGGTATGTTTTCATCTCCGGAAGTGATTTTCTTGGAGCATTTTTATATCTTTATAAGGGTAATTTTTATAAAGGTGCCATACATGTATTTACACAACAGTTGAATATTGTTATGACTGTGATTTTTGTCATTTTCAATAGCCCACATGAAGTATATCAAATTGAAAGGCAGGAACTAATTACAGGCTAGGGCTGCAATATTATTATCGATTATTGCCCTTGATATTGTGTGTGGAGAAACGGCATATTCTTTTAGTCTTTTTTTTACTCATAAAATCAAGACTTCACATTGGTTATCTTAGTAGTGGTAAACGGCTGTTCATATCTGAAATAAATTATACCCAGAAAGTGAACAAAAACGTTCCCCATCACTGAAGCAGTCTGCGATGCTGCAAAAACAATGTGTAAAATGAATTTTTGATGCAACGTGAACAGATCTAAATGTAATGCACTTGTGTCCTTTTTTAAATTCATTTTCATATTTCACTTTAATCATGACAGTCGTAATAGATTATTTAAATTGTGTGGGGGCATTTTTCGTCTCCGTTTCTTGAATTTGCATTTATGTTCATTTTGATGGCATTTTTTTAGGGTTGCAAAGGGGTGGAACATTTCTGGTAAATTTCCAGAAACTTTCCAAAAATTCCTGGAAATTTTCCACCTTTTTGCAACCTTACATTTTTAAACCTTTGTTAATTTCCGAACCCAGAACCTCCTAGCAATTGCATAGTATCATGATGAAAACCACTCCGAAAAAATACCCAGGCAATCACTCGCATTGAGTTTTGCACCACTTTCAAAAATTAATATTCATTGTTGTATACTTATAAGAGGTTTTGTCCTTACAGAAACTTCTAGAGGCCCATGAGGAGCAAAATGCAGAGGCTTTCACAGAAGCGGTATGACTTTTACCTTCAGCTTCTTTAAAAAAAAAAATACATTTGTTATCATTGTTCCATTTGATTTTTAAAAAGTAAATGAATTTTTTTTAAATATTAAAATACTTAATACTTCAACCACTGGCATGAGTCTGAAGTGGGACTGCTGATGCGTTCAAGTCATGTTCAAAAGTTCGTAATTACGAGTTGAACGCACAGTGTTTAAATTACAAGAGGGAAACGGAATTTTCTTTAAGCCCCAGGTTGAGGGTGTATTGGTGGGAAAATATGGCAGACGCAATAGATTCAGCGTCTATATTGATGACAAATTTATTGAAATGTTTTTTTTTTTTTAATTTACTATAAAACTAGCTAAGTTAGATGTACAAAATATGATAGTATTGTAGAATCAGAATAAAATATATAACAATTCAATTTACAGTACTTTCATAACTTGATAAAAACACTTGGCAAAAGCACCTGATGGGCATTTCTTTATTCATAATTTTGTAGCGTTTAAATAATTTTGCTGAATTTTTTTGTTGAGAAGGTACATTGTCATCTTTCTCTGATAAGTACAGTGGGGAAAAAAAGTATTTAGTCAGCCACCAATTGTGCAAGTTCTCCCACTTAAAAAGATGAGAGAGGCCTGTAATTTTCATCATAGGTATACCTCAACTATGAGAGACAAAATGAGAAAAAAAAATCCAGAAAATCACATTGTAGGATTTTTAAAGAATTTATTTGCAAATTAAGGTGGAAAATAAGTATTTGGTCAATAACAAAATTTCATCTCAATACTTTGTTATATACACTTTGTTGGCAATGACAGAGGTCAAACATTTTCTGTAAGTCTTCACAAGGTTTTCACACACGGTTGCTGGTATTTTGACTCATAAATACAAACTTCCCTGGTGGAGTTGAATGCACCACATCTACTCGGACAGTTTATTTTTGCAGTTTATTTATTTTTTTTGGTGATGCTAACATCACAGAAATCTCATATCGTGTTCATTCTTTCGTCGTCTTTTAGGTGAAGGAGTTTGACTCCATCTCACGCTTGGACCAGTGGCACACCACCATGCTTCTGCGGATCAAGAAGACCATTCAGGGGGACGAGGGCGACCTAAAATGATCTGGACAGTGGGGTGATCACCCACTGCATGGCACCCTCCTTCCCCCCTTCCAATTCACATCAGTTTCGTGCAATGGCCAAGTCCGGGTTTCCCAAAACAGTATGTCAAAATGTATTGCTGCAGCATTTCTAGAGTATATACTTCTAAGCCTGTACTGTTACATTGATATCCAGTTATATAATATAGCACATATCAAAATTTAGCACTCCAGTTCAAAGATCTGCTCTGGTTTCCCTGTTGCATTACGGAGTGAACCGCCTCAGGACTAGGGCTGCACGAAAATATGATCGTGGTTTTGCGCAGCTTGTCAGTGAACAACGGCTCTGTGTAGTAAATGCTGCTCCATGTGAAAGCGGACGGTGCGGACGTGATGGAGATTTACCGCTGATTACAGAACTGGCTTTACTGACAAGATAAGCGTTAAATATTGCATGCGATTTATCGTGCAGCCCTACTCAGGACAGGGAAATTCAAGAATACAATGGGGATTTGAGATAGTCCTCGAGTTCTTTTGCAAAAGTCATTGAATTGCGACGTGCTAGAGCTGCATGAATTGTACAGATACAATTATTCAGTCAGTGCAGCAGGATTGTGTTTTATTATTATTATTTAGACATTGTTTTTATTTGTGCCGTTTTTGTAGTCTGCTCACACTAGTCGGCATGCAGGCCTCAAAATGCTTTTTGTCCACATTTAATAACATCCGACATTCATGCTGGACTGAGATTTTCAGTTTCCCACAATCCATCATTTTGAATTGGTATTTACATTATTACAAAAATGTCTTGGAAATAATTTCTTATTTATCCACTCTCTGAAATTTTACTTTTGGGTTGTTTTCTTAAATGTATATTTATTTAATTAAATTGTTATTTGAACTATTAATATTAGTTTATTATTTATTATTAGTCTAATAATATAATTAGTCAGAAATATTATAAATATATTATTAGTCTATTAATATTGTATTAATAAAAAATATATAATTTAACTACATTTTTACACTGTCTATCATCTCCATCAGCACTGAAATTGATGCATTTTGTAAAATCCTTGTATCACTCTTATTAATATGCTCAATGTGTGTCGTGTTGTGATGCATAGCTCATGTACACTCTCCACTCCTGTGGTGTTTAGCAGCGTACGTCATTCTGTGTTCTATGTGTCGTGACGTCTGTATTTTACCATATTCTAGTTTTTAAGAAGCCACAGTACCAAACAATGAACTTTCCCACAGAGCAACTGATGTCTTTGCTGAATGTCTGTGAGAATGTACAGAAATAAAAACCAATACTGAAATGGCTACACGATTTAGGCAAGTGAAAGTCTGTTATATTACCTAGTTAGTGGTGTTCGCTAAGCCAAGTATCACTATTACACTACAATGCAGTTTACGCATTACATTTTGGTGTGTAACTCCTGCACTGTTTGTGCTGCGGACTTTGACAATAACTCAAATAATGTTGTTAGTTAAGAAAAAGTAAATAAGTATATGTAAATAATATTTAATAAAATTTTCTATGCGTTTATAATATTTACAAAATAAATTTGCTGCCCAATCAAACATGATTGAGTACCCACTATATAAGTTTTGGGTTAAAATATAGACTATATATATATATACACATACGCTTATATTTCACATATTTTCTCTATATTTCAACCCAAAATTAAAACAAACAAAGTTAATTTATCGATAGAATTGAAACAGAAAAATAAGGAAGCTGAATTCAGTAGACATTTTATTGAGTGATTTTAAGGAGCGTTGTCATGGTTATACACATAATGGGATACTAAAAATGAAGAATTGTGTTATGTACTTGTAGTGTTGAGCATAATAAATATGAGCAAAGAGCATTACTGACAAAAAAAAAGCAGTTTTTTGGTTTTACAAGAATCACTAAAAAACTATTTAATGACAAGACATACCCTAGAAACGGAAGGGAAAATCATATATGATGTCAAAAACAAACCCAAGCAAAATTTAACATTGTGATTTAAGAATTCTACTAGTTAAGCACATTATAGATGGGTTTCATAAAGCAAAAGATTATTTACAGCTGATAATTTAAAGCAATGCTTGATTGTGACATGATTGAGTATTTTCAACTGAATCAGGTAGAATCTACTCTCCTACTGAGATTTCGATGTTGTTTGAAGCCTCTGCAGTGTGTATGCTTTCACTGACTTCCTGTTGGGTGTCTGCACAGTCCGTCTCTACCACTGTAACAGCTTGGACCGATACACACTCATCGACTGCAGCCGTAGTCAGACCGTTCTCTGTTGCTTCAGCTTCTGATGTCGCCGCAGTCATTGCCGGAGCCAGTAAGGTGTCTGAAATGTGACTGGCGATGGTGATGGGCACAGAACCGGATATCGATGGAGACACGCTGATGGAATGTGCAACTGAAATGGGGATGGAAAAGGGAACGGTCACGGGCATCCCGACCGCAGAAGCATCCAGAGAGATCACGCTGGTGCCGTCTGTGGTGACTAAGGGCTGCAGTTGCGTGCCTGCGGGCACTTCAGTCTGGATGACCGTGAGGCCGCCCAGGGCCGTGTGGCTGACCAGCGCGATGGTTCCAGGTCCGGCCCAGTCTCCGGAAATGGTTACGGGCTCTCCGGACACAGCCACCACTTCTTGGGTCTTCTGTGCGTCGCTCTCAGGAGCCTGCGCTTCGGAAACAGCAGCCACCGCCTTGTCCTTCTTCTGAGAAGAGCCTTTTGGCTTCTTGGCTCTGTCTTCAACATTTCCCTCCAGAACAACCAGGTAGTTCTTCCATGGAGTTTGTTTGTCATGGGTCTGCATATAGAAAAAGTGGTTATACTAAGTCCCGATTTAAACTACTTAATCCCTACTAACCTAACTTGCTGGTTCTCAGTGCAGGCTTATTAATGATGAAAAGCATTGCAATAATAATAATAATAATATGCATTATTGATAATATGTAATTAATATTAAAGGGGTCATATGATGTTGCTAAAAGGAACATTATTTGATGTATTTGGTGTAATGAAATGTGTTTATGCAGTTTAAGGTTCAAAGAACACATTATTTTCCACATACTGTACATTATTGTTTCTCCTCTATGCCCTGCCTTTCTGAAATGTGTCGATTTTTTTTACAAAGCTCATCGGTCTGAAAAGCGAGGTGTGCTCTGATTGGCCAGCTATCCAGTGCGTTGTGATTGGCCGAATACCTCAAGTGTGTGATGGAAATGTTACGCCCCTTACCATATTGTGATGCCGTGTCCCGGAGCGACGAGACAAAACCAATAAAACCCATTATAAACGAGGCATTTGTTGCATCCAGTGAGGGACATAATTACGGATTATAATGACTTATACTGTCTTTTACACGTTGCGTTGCATCGCGCCACGTAAACATAAAACCATGTCTGCATTTGTGATCGGAGAAATGACAAACTACAAGCCCTACTCTACACTGCTCAAAACTCGCGTTTGAATGGTCAGTGGCAAATCCTTTAAATATGAAAGTGTACTTACAGTCTGTGAGTCAGAACAGCCGGCATTGTAGTCTACTCTCCCAGGATCAGGAAACAGTCCTCCAAAAAATGTGCTGCACACATCTGAATATTTGGGTTGAACTGTTCTGGAACAGTGTTGTAAATGCAGCTTAACCACTGATTTCTAGTCGTGTCCTCTTTTGGAAGACCAAACAAAGTATATTTGCTTTCGCAACAAAACACACAGCGTCTTCACAACATGGCGGCAACGGCGGTGGCAGCAACAATAAAGTTACGCCACCTTTCTTTGCATGAACATGTTTATGCAAATCTTCCCACATCATGACGTAGACATGTGGGGGCGTGTTTAAACGAGGCGTTTTTAGGAGGGCGTGGACGAGTCTTAACTTTAATAAAGAATATCTCTTTGGGTTTGAGACTTTAGTCTTTGCAACTTTAGGGATCTTATCTATTCATCAACAGCTTGTAACACTCCAAAGAGAAAGGAAAACTTGAAATAGCATCATATGACCCCTTTAACACGTGAGTTTGAATTATAAATAGCCAAAAAAGTGGAACTGGTGTTCTGAAACTGCTAACAGGAAGTTAACCTTTGATTGATTATGTTCTAGATTGACTTACAAGTTCTTGGACACATTTAGACATGGATTACACTACCATTAAAATGTTTGTTTGTGTAACTCTCTTATGTTAATCAAGGCTGCGTTTATTTGGAATTTATTTTTATTTGGAATTTAAAATAACTTGTTTCTATTTGAATGTATTTTAAAATGTAATTTATTCCTGTGATGCAAAGCTGAATTTTCAGCATCATTACTCCAGTCTTCAGTGTCACATGATCCTTCAGAAATCATTCTAATATGCTGATTTGCTGCTCAAGAAACATTTATTGTGAATTTTGATTTTTTTTTTTGTAATTTCTGGATTTTTTCGTGAATAGAAATTTCAAAGGAACAACATTTGTTTGAAATGGAAATCTTTTGTAATTTTATAAACATCTTTACTGTCACTTTAATCCTTGCTGAATCAAAGTATTAATTTCTTCATAAAAATTCTCACCCAAATTTTAAATGGTAGTGTACATTTAGGAAATTCAGTAACGGATTTAGTTGGCATTTATCATATGCAGAACTGGTGCCTATAAAAAAATATTCACAGCCCTTTCTGGACTTTTTGCACCATTTATAGTTCAGTACATCATGATTTAAACTTGCACGAAGCCCATGGGCGTGAATATTTTTTACAGTCACTATAAAGCCACTTATTAAACCGTGCTGTGAAAAGTGGCAGGTTCTTTACCAGGGTGTGCCGGCGTACGGTGGATTTGTCTGTAAACGTTCTTCCACACATGCTGCACATGTACGGCTTCTCTCCCGTATGGATTCTCTGATGTCTCTGCAGGGCGTTGAGTTGAGTGAACTGCTTATCACAGTCCTTACAATGATACGGCCTTTCACCTGTGAAGAAAGCAGCAGTGACAACTGATAAGTATATTAACTGATAAAATATACACAAGCCTGTGACCGCACAGCAGTTGTGCATTGCTTGATCATTGCTAGTCTAGGACTATATTACCTTGTGGCCGTTTATTGTGATTATAATTAATTCAATTATTTGTAGCACTTTGGTATCTTTCATCAAATTGTTTTTGCCATTATTTGATATAACATCAATATGCTTTAGTGTATGTGACATAAAAGGCCACTTTTACACTTTTTAAATAAAATGCATAGCAATATTGGATTATTTGTGGAAGATACCTGTGTGTATTTTCATATGCTGGTGGAGGGAGTTCCTCTGAGCAAATGCTCTTCCACAGGTTTCACATTTGTAGGGTCTGAATCCTGAATGGATTCTGTTGTGATGTTTCAGGTATTCTTTGGATGCAAAGCTCTTCCCACAGTTCTCACACATGAATGGCTTTTCACCTAGACAGAGAAGAGGAAGTCATTATAATTTGCCATCAAATTATTTCTCTCTATGAAACGGGAAACCGCTGGCTCACCTGTGTGACATCTCCTGTGGTAAGACAGCATGTGGTTCTGGGTAAATCTGGCATCACAGAGGTCACAGGCGAAAGGTTTCTCTCCAGTGTGGATCCTGGATTAAAAACAAGATAGAATGCATAAATATTAAATGCAAAAAACCCGAGATGTTCATTAGGGATGCATAATGACCATTTTGGTATCTGCAACTTGGCATTTAAAAAAAAAAAAACTATCATAGAGTTATAAATGCACCGATTTTAGTATATAATGTAATTTTTTCTGCACTAATATTCTAAAATATCATATTATTTAATTTTATGTATAGATGAATATAATATAGATTTGTGCATTTAGCAGATGCTTTCATGCATAAATGTAAATAATATCATTTAATATATTATAATATGATGACCAATATTATGTTTGGTAATTGGCCATACCATAAAAACAACTAGATTTTAAATTCTGAGGAAATATAATAAATAATATACATTTAGTGGACACTTTTTCATAAATGTAAATAATATATTACATTATTTTATTTACATTTATGCATTTAGCTTTTATGCATGTAAACAATCAAATATAATTTCACATGCAAAAAATAAATAAATAATATGATGGCCAATGTTATAATATGGTCAGTTATTGACCATAAAAAAACAACTAGATTTTACATTATTCATACATGTAAATAATATAATTTACATTTATGCATGCATGTAAATAATAAAATATAATACTTATTTACAACTATACATTTTGTGCAATGGCAGCATGTTTTGGCTGGGCTGCCAGGGTGTTGCTATACAGTTGCTAAGGTTTTGTGAGCAGGTTGCTAATACACTTTGGGTGGTTACTTGCTGACAAAAGCCAATTTGAGGTAGTATTTATGTATTTAGCATCCTAATATTTAGGGTTCGGGGTTTGTATAAATTACTTGTATGGTGTAAACTGGAGCATCCCTGATATTGCCCACTACCTTTGATGTGTCTTGAGTGCTGAACTCTGGGAGAATCTGGATCCGCACTCATCGCATTTGAAGGGTTTGTGCCCCGAGTGTGTCCTCTCATGCAGCGTCAGGGCAGTTTTGGAGCTCAGAGATTTGCCGCAGATGTGGCAGTAGTGTCTGTCCGTGCCGCCCTCGTGCACCTGTCGCCTGTGGCGGGTCACGTCCTTCTTGCGCTTGAAGGTTTTGTTGCAGATCTCGCATGGGAAGAGCCTCTCATCATTGTGCACGTGCCGCTGGTGGATTTTCAGGTTGCAGCGGTTGGCGAACGTCTGCTGGCAGACGTCACAGCGAAACGTGGTGTCCATCTGGACCCCGTGGTTGACCTTCAAGTGCTTCAGATAGCTCTTCTCATAGTAGAATGAACGGCTGCATTTCTCACATCTGTACTTTGCGGTTCCTCTCTTGATTTTCTTCTCGGCTTCATCCATTTCCTCATTAGGCTGGAAGTCTGATTCTTGAGGGTCTTCTTCAGGCACATCATGAGTGGATTCTGACCCAGTGTCATCGCAAGTGTCTTTTTCACCCAATGCGTCCCGTGATGATTCTGCCTCTGGATCTTGGGGCGTTTGCTTGTCTTCTGCTGTGCTGGATTCATCAAGGGTTTCTGCTTGCTTTCTCTTTGGCTTTTTCAGAGGAGGGTCTACAGACACTCTGCGACCCGCTAACCTCCTGCTTCTCCTGTCTGGTTCTGTCTCCTTCACATTTTCAGGCACTTTTAAAGACTTTTTTCTCTTCATCGCTCTTTTCACAGGTTCTCGTTTGGTTTTGATTTCAGTTTTTGGAGTATTTGAATCCACGCCATCCTTCTGCAGGGTTTCATCTGAAACGCCACTGGGAATTTCTGCCTCGCAAGCATCCACTAAGTCCTGGCACTTCAGGAGTTTAGCCATTTGCAGTACAGTGCTGATGTAACTTTTCTCCACCTCGATTTTTCCAAAATACGCATACTCTAAGAATTTCTCAAATGCATGCGGTAAGATGTCACACAAGAATAAACTTTTTACTTGGTCATTAGCTAACAGATGGGACTCGAAGTAACCACTGGATGCGGCGAGGACCACCCGATGGGCTTCAAACTCCTCCAGCTCTTCTTGAAAATCCACCTGTACCGTGATGTCACACAGGCTTCCCATGGTCCTCAGCTTCCACATGGCATTGAGCAGATTTTTATGGTGAGAGCTGGATTGCAATTGAACCAATCCATCACTCATTTTCTCTGGGTTCTGCAGCTGCCGGAAGAACATAAATTATTAGAGACATTTATCATTTATATATATATATATATATATATATATATATATATATACATACACACACACACATACACACTGTGTGTGTGTATATATACACACACACTGTGTGTATATATATATATATATATACACA